TCACGTGATGTCCAGTTGAAAAAAAGAAGCCGCTTGTTTCGGAAATACTAGCCAGCTTATATATATATATATAGAGAGAGAGAGAGTATAGAGGTCCAATAGATACAGTTCCACGTCCATGAATCCGGCAGGTGTTAAACCGACAACCACATCTCTTCTCCGTAACCGCGCAAACAAGGCGCAGCTGAACGATGAAAAGAATCTAGGATCTGGAAGGAATTCCATCCCAGAAGGGAGCCAAAGAATATGCCTGTCAAAACCCCGAAGGATGTTGAGTGGCAAGGCTCGCCACGATGTGCAATGTAGGAGCCCCTCCACGGCAGACCGCCTTCTTGATCGCGGATGCCCAAACAAGGTAAGTATGAAGAAGAGAAAGAAGAAAAAAGACAAAAGAAGTGCGGGCGGGCGAGGTATTTATACGGCGGGCGGAGCCGCTAGGGACAGCGCTAGGCTAAGCGAGGGCCCACGGCGAGCGCCCATTGGCTGGGCGGGTTACGTAAGTGGCCGGTGACGGAATAATGTTAGTCCTGTCGGTCCGGCGTTTCTTTTCTCCTTTGGGAAGAATTTTGAGCGCGGAAAATGAGCGGAGAGGAAACCACCGCAGTGAGAAGCCAACAACAAGCTATCGAGACGGGCGGAAACATACACACACAGAGAGAGAGGATATAGAGAGGCAGGGAAACGGAACTTCCATGGTCGGCCCTCTCTGCTGCGCCAATTGCTGTTGCTGAGTGCTGCTTCCCGCAACCATGAGGTCGGATCCCTGGAAGCTCGTCAAGGCTGGGAGGAGACCGGCGGTCAGTAGGAGGAGTCTACATATTCCCCTGCCTCTGCATATATACATATATATACATATATATACATATATACGTTCAATTCTAATTTCCCTCACAGAAAGTTCTTCAATCATGGAACAAAGTCAACCTCTACAACCTCAAACACGCCAGCATCCCCCATTCCTCCTCCAAAACATTCTTCCAGCAGAAGTGGATCGCCAAGTCCCTCGCCCGCACATACCACGGCGAGCAGGTCCGCGAATCACAGTGGGAGAAAATGTTCTCCCGTCGCTTGCGTTCCGTCGTGCCAATGGATGCCAATTACCTCGCCCGTAACGACGGTTCCTTCGAATCCGCCGGTCGAGGATCCGGCTTGGAAGGTGTTGGTCCGCGTAGGGCTCCGCTCACGCCCCATATGCAGATGACCTTTGCGCCGCTGGAGCGGAGGCTGGATGTCGCTATTTTCCGTGCCATGTTTGCCAGCAGCACGAGACAGGCGAGGCAGTTTGTTATTCATGGTTCCGTTACTGTCAATGGGAAGAAGGTTGGCCAACCCCAAGTTGCAAAAAGCGAATGATGTGTTCCACATAATGCTCAACAAATTCACACAGATGAGATACCCAGGATACCTTTTGAACTCGGGCGATCTTTTCCAAGTAGACCCCGAACGAGTGATGTTTGCGACGGGCGCGCCCAAGGACCCTCAACAACGCCGCAGAGGTCGTAAACGGCGCAACCGGACTCCGGTGGAAGCAGTCAGGGATGAAATCGTCTAATGCAGTCGCAGAAAACATTCTTCGCTCATTGAAGGAGCTGA